CAAAGAGAGAGAGAGAGAGAGAGAGAGAGAGAGAGAGAGAGAGAGAGAGTCAGCACAAGTCCGAAGTGTCGTTTCAACCACTGCCGAAGCCTGAGCACTTTCATTGGACGGAAGTGTCGTTTCAACCAGTTCCCAAGCCTGCGCACTTTCATCGGACTTTTCATTCCCTGTCCCCGGCCCCACACTCCCTTTCCATTTGCCCCTGCTTTGCCACCGTTTCGATTTTGACCAAAAACCGTTCCGACCAAAACCCAAAGCACAGTCCCACCGGCAGCTACCGGTCCCTCATTTTTCAAACAAACTGCCACCATCCCCCAAAGTGCCACACCTGCACCTTCCTATTGACTTACCGTGAGGGCACGGGTGCGCAGCCCGTAGTTTGTTTCTTTTTGGTTGCGGCGAGGCCCTGTGTGTGCGTATGCGTGTGTGTGTGTGTGTGTGTGTGTGTGTGTGTGTGCTGTCTCTTATACACATCTAGATGTGTATAAGAGACAGGAGAGAGAGAGAGAGAGAGTGCGCACTTTCGAGTGCGCACTTTCGTCGAACTTTTCAGCCCCTGCCCTCGGCCCCTCGTGCCCTTTTTATTTGCCCCTGCTTTGCCACCGTTTCAATTTCGAGCCTGCGCACTTTCGTCGGACTCTTCAGCCCCTGGCCCCGTGCGCCCTTTCCATTCGCCCCTGCTTTGGCACCGTTTTGATTTTGACCAAAACCCGTTCCGACCAAAACCCAAAACGCGGTTCCACCGGTAGCTACCGACCACCACCCCCCAAAGTGCCATACCTGCACCTTCTTGCATTTTTCAAGCCTTTCGACGACCAAATGACCTGTAATGAACGACCGGTATAACGAAGGACGACGACAAGATGTCTCTATCATCTATGTCTCAAATGGGGAAAAACGCACCCCTGACGGGCTGCGAACACAAGCCACACACACTGACTTACCGTGATGGCACGGGTGCGCAGCCCGAAGTTTGTATATGCTTGATTGATAAACAGAAAAAAACAAGAGAGAGAGAGAGAGAGAGAGAGAGAGAGAGAGAGAGAGAGAGAGAGAGA